TTGCCCTCATGAACAATATCCGGTGAAGAGATTTGTCAATTTTGCTGAATAAGTGGAGCATTCAGTTGTCGTGTTCGATTTCATGGAGTCGCCCTAATACAGAAACATTTCGATACTTTTGTATAAATTATGCATATTGGGGCGACACAAAGTCAGTGTTCCACGGCCTATTGTTGATTTCCACCTGAACTGTGCCAGTATGACTGTATATTCTGGATGAGAATTACATGAGCCTTTTTTAGTAGGTTAACCAATGATTTTGTTTAATTATCCGCCCCAAACAAACTCACCCCCAAAAAGTGAATGTTGCCAAGCCTTCCCAGCGGCCATTTTTCAAGTGACATCTCTCGCCTTCCTCGGTCTCTTATGACTAATTTTCAATCCCATTTTTGTCTGCTTTGCCCCCAGATGGGTGCCCCTGAATCTACAGAGATGATCCTGGGCCAATCCCACCATTTCATGGCCCAAAGAGACCCCTCTTTTCGAAACAATCCAGGGGGGTACTTTTTGTACGCCTCGTCCTGGTGGAGAATTTTCCTTCAATTGGGACACTGCACCCTCACGTGAAACTGTCGACCCTCAAGTGAGTGACGAAAATGGCGAATAGCCAGATACACAGCTAGAAGTTTTCGTAATTTACCTCCAGAATACACAGAGATACTGGAAAAGTATGGGTGGAAATCAACAAGAGGCCGGGATACATTGACTTTTTGTCGAACCAATGTGCATAATTTACTAAAGTATCGAGAGTTTTCTGTATAGTACTAGGTTGACCCCATGAAATCGAACAAGAAATCTAAATGCTCTACAATTTTTTTTTCAGCAAAATTGACAAATCTTTTGACCGGATATTGTTCATCAGGGCATCTTTTTTCAAAGGAACAGAAGAATAGTAATCACACACATGCTTTGGTATAATGTTGTAAGGGTAAAGGAAGATTACTGAAACAAAATGAGCACTTAAATTCTTCTTGTGCAAAAGGTCATTCAAACCTGCATTGCTTTGGTGGATAGAAATTATAAATTTGAAGTACACGCACTTGTTTGCACAGTTGAGCTGAAAAGAACCAATAGTCAGGGCGACATTTTGCTTGTGTCGCCCCAATAGGCATATTTCACAAGTATATTGACCTTATAGTGTTCATTTGGGCGACTCTTTGAGGGAAAAAATTGACAATAGTGCAATAGCCGATAGCGGCCCGAAAGAAAGCGAGTATCGTTAAATGCCAAG